GTTCTGAGGACTGTGTTGTTTCCTTTTGTGTTTCTCAAGATTCCTGTGTCAGAATGTATCTTTACCTAAAATTAATTGACACACCAGTAGAATTTGCTGTTCCTTCCATTTGAGAGAGGTATCCAACTGGATGGCTTGCCTGTTCAGAGCCATTTTGGGAGAGATAATTGCCTGAGAACATTTTTCAATAGTTTTCTCGATTATAGGCCATTCTGAATTTCTGCTTCTTCTCTAGTCCATTTTGGCCATTTATAGTTTTCTGAAAAAAAAATCACTCACTTTACAATGTTTATCAGAGAGGACTGTATGTAAAGGGCTCTTATAACTTGTACATCTACCCTACCTATAGTTTAAAATCATTCTTTTTGTATTGACATTTTCTCCCATTGTTAATTATATTTTCTAGAGACTATCTCTCTTGTTGATTCTTTCAAAAGTACCCTGCCTCCAATATACTTATGAGTTCTTCCAGTTTTCCATTGGATTAGTCTTTTATTATTATAACAAAATACGTCAGGCAGGCCAACAATGACTGAAGGAGGCATATTGAACTCATGCTTTTAAAGGATCAAGAGCATGGTGCTGACGTTGCTCCTGGACACCTAAGCAGCTTGTAAACCCAAATCCAGAGAGACTGAGTAGAGCTAGGTTCTAGCTTCCCTAACAGCCTTCCCACAAGAAAGGATGAGAATCCCATAAGAAATACCTCAGTTCCTCCAAGAGCAATGACCCCAATTAGGACTGAAATACCTCCACCAGGCCCTACCTCCTAACATACCCACAATAAGGACCAGGTCCCCAGCACATGAGCCTTTAAAATACATCTACACTGTATTCGCCATGTTCCCACAGAATGCAAGGCTATCATTCATGATACATTCAAATATGTAAATATTTCAAGCGTCCATCAGGAGTTGTGGTAAACTTGGAAAGTCCCCAGTGTGTGTTTTATCTCGTTAACATTTCCTTCTCACATTGTTACTTTGGTTGCGTCAGCTTCTCCAGCCATCTTACTTCTGCATTAGCCAGGGTTCTCTAGGGGAACAGAACTGATATAAATATATGTGTGTACATATATACTTGTATAATACATATGTGTGTGTGTGTGTGTGTGTGTATACACTTATAAAAGGGAATGATTAGAATGACTTACAGAATGGGGTTCAGCTACTCCAACAATGGCTGTCTACTGGTCTGAAAACCCAGCAGTTGTTCAGTCCATGAGGCTGGCTGTCTCAGCTGGTCTTCAGCACACACCAGAATCCCATAGAAATAGGCTCTAATGCCAGCAAAGGAATGGACTTTCCAGCTAGAGTGAGGACAAGCCTGCAAAGAGAGCAAGCTTCCTTCCTCCATACCCTTTATATATAGGCTGCCAGCAGACAGTGTGGCCCAGAATCGGGGTTAAAAGTGGGTCTTCTGTCTTCCAATGATTTAATTAAAAAACTGAATCCCTCACAGGCATCCCAGATGCTTGGGTTTTAGTTATTTCAGATGTGATCAATCTGACAACCGAGAATAGCCATCACACTTCCTTTTCTCTTACAGTTGCTGGCAATTGTAGCGCCTGGCTTTTTAAGACAGAATTTCCATTCTCTCCTTGTTATCTGTCCCCCCAAATCCTTTAGGGCTTTCATCACATCTGCTTTACTTTGAGGGAGAACCAGCGATTTTATTATCTTACCTTACAAGAATGTGGTATCTTTCCCACCCATTTGTATTATAAACCGGTGGTGGAATGTTGTGCCTTTTAAAAACTTAGGTTATTCTCTGTAAGTTCAAGGGGTGGCCTGGTCTACAGAGAGAGTTCCAGGACAGCCAGATCTACACAGAGAGACCCTGTCTCAAAAAACAAAAACAAGCCAGTGGTGGTGGCACACATATTTAATCTCAGCACCCAGGAAGTAGAGGCAGGCAGATCTCTGTGAGTCTGAGGCCAGTCTAGTCTACAGATGGAGTTCCAGGACTGCCTCCAAGCTACAGAGAAACTCTGTCTTGAAAACTCAAACCAAAACAAAACAAAAAACAAAAGGAAGGAAGGAAGGAAGGAAGGGAGGAAAGAAAACAACCCAACCAACCTAATAAACAAACAAAAACCTTAGGTTATAAAATTTCTTACTGAACTAAGATGGCTCAGTGGGTAGAGTTCTTGCTATGTAAAAGCTTGAGGAGCTGAGTTTAAAATCCCCAGAGCACATGGTTGGAGGAGGGGACAGAGTCAGGTGACTCCTGGAAACTCACTAGCCAGCAGTTTCAGGTTCAGTGAGAGACCCCATCTTAAGGGAATAGGGGCAAGCAATAGCGGAAGACACCCAGGGTCAACCTTTGGCCTCTGCGCAATTCACACAGTTTATTCCACGTGTATCGCGCCAAGTACATAGCCCCTCCACTCACTTATTAATAGAGTAAAATGAAAACGATTCCAAGAAATGTTACATCATAGTCACCACTGTGGAGGGAACTGTTTGCCTGTGATCTTTCTAGCTTAGTACTGATGGTATGTGCCAGCCAGAGCAACTGGGGTAACTGTCCTCTATCACTGCTGCAGACCAGCCTTCTGGGGAGATTAAGAAACTTCGTGAGGAGGCCCCTGTGTGAGGAAGTGGTGGGGGCCCAGATCTGATCTTCCATCTCCAGGCAGCCACCATATCCCCTTCCCTAAAGCCTTTCCTCCAGCTAGTGCAGGGGCACGCTAGCTCTGTGGAGCAGCCCTGGATCCAGTGTGTGGCGTGATGGCGGTGAAAAGTGCGAGTGGTCTGCTCTATCACCCAGGCCTAGGCACTTCTGGAACTCAAGTCATCTGTCACAAAGTGAGACTCACTTCCCAGGGAGGTGCCCCACAGTGAGTGTTCATCAGTGACTGGGGCCAGTTGTGACAGCTGTCTGTGATAGCTTTTTTTTTTTTTTTTTTTTTTTTTTGTGGTAGCTTCTATCTAGATAACATCAAAACAGCTCCCAATTCTGGAATTGAGAAACAAATTGTGGGACACACTAGAGTATTACACAACATGAACGACCTGGCTACTGGTTCCCACCACAGGAAAGACTCCCACAATCCTAGTGTTCAGGATCCAAACACGCACAAAAGTCACATACCATGAGACGCGTGTGTATGAAGTGTTTGTTTTTAATAATCAAGGCTCATATAGGAAATGAGCATAGTGGTTGTTCTTGGATCTCAAGCTGTGACAGAAAGAAGGATGATGGTCTGTGTGTCTGTTAATGTTCTCCTGTCTCTTGGTCAGGTATTTCATTAAACCAGCCCTAAGCAATTCAGAGCCACACAGAGCAAAAGGAAGGCACTGGGAATTAGTGAATTTCATCTTGGAGTGGACTCCAGAGGGCGAACTTGCTAAATTACAGTGGTGTCCTGTGACAGAGACCAAGGGAGAGTGTCGTCTTGTTTACTGACTGTTCTCCACTAAAGACAGGCACTAAAAGTGGCATCATTGCCATCTCCTTCTGGGACAACTCTGAAAGACACCGGGGGAAGGGGACCTTCACGGTGGGCAGAATGTCAGGCAGTACACATGGTCATCCATTTTGTTTGGGAAGAGAAACTGCCAGATGTGCCAATGGATTGGCCACATGGCCAGGACTTAGAAAGAGCATGGTTGGAACATTGGTGAGAGAGACATCTGGGGAAGAAATGTGTGGATAGATCTCTCAGATGGGCAGTGGATGTGAAGATGCTCGTGTCCCACATCATGCTCATCAAAGTGTGACTTCAACTGAGAAGGAGCTCAGTAATCTGATAGCTAGGATGATCCATCCTGTGGAAGGTCAGCTTCTTTCTCCAGCCATCCCCACCATGAACAAAGTGGCCATGGTGGTTGAGATGGGGTTATGCGGGGACTCGGCCACATGGACTCCACTCACCAAAGCAATCTGGCTGCAGCTGTGGCTGAGTGCCAGATCTGCCAGCAGCCGTGGCTAACACTGAGAACCATTCCCGGGGTGACCAGCCAGTACCATGGTGGCAGGTTGTTTACACTGGACCACTTCCTTCATGGAAAGGGTAATGTTTAGTCCTCACTGGAGCAGACACTGAGTCTGGTTCCGTGTTTGCCTTTCCTGTATGGAGAGCTCCCTCTCAGTTCCTCCAGTGCCAGTAGCTTAACATCATTTACATGTTCTACCTTCTTGAGCTGTCTGTCTCCTGGACTGCCTGGCTCATGCAAGATCTAAACCAAGGTCTACTGGTCTAGCACCTGGCATCAAAGGCTTAAGGCTGTCCTCAATAATGAGCTGGCACAATGTCCTACCTTCCATTATCAGCACCACGGCAGAACGGACACCAAGTGCCACATGCTGGGTGCTATCACAGCCTGGAGGAGGGACAGTGAGAAAAGATCCAGGGCTTCGTTGTCAAGAGACCCGCAACCCAAGCCTTGGCTTCTCCCCAGTACCCAGTACCGCTGATACTTTGCGTGAATGGAACCCCAAACCTGTGATCTAGCCCCAGTAATTCTCATTATCTTCCAGTCACGACTCAGCTCCTGCAAGGTATCACTGGTCCTGTGCACCACAAGTTCCCCCACCCCCCTCTCCCTGAAGGTTTCGCAGGATGAAGGATAAAGAGGCATGGTGGAGAATGGAGGGGGAGGGGATGAATACAGCATACAGGATAGAGGCAAGCAGTTAGGCTCTTGGACTTGAAGCCCTTTCCAGCCTAAAACATGTTGAACATGTTGGAAGAGGAAAGCCCAGGAGCAGATGGGGGAGGGGGTGTCAGTATCTCCAAAGAGGAGGCAAAGTCGAGGAGCTGGGAGATGCAGTTTGTTAGAAGCACGTTGCCAGGCAACGCCGTGTTGAACGACATGTTAGGTCATGGGCAGGGAGAAAGCAGGGGACCGAGCTCCCGCGCGACGCCTGAATGACTGTGAGCGAGAGGTGGAAAGGAACCTCAACCTTCAGCTACAGCGCTGGGAGGTGCAGCTCGGCGCAGGCGTCAATTCCTTCCGTGGAGGGCGGGGCGCGTTCGGGGCGGGGTTAGAGGCTAGGACTCCGGAGCCATCTAAACTTCCGGTGCCTGCAGCGCAGTAAGAGGCAGCAGCCGCACTGATCGAGGTTGCACAGGCAGAGGCTACAGGGAGCAGGCGCGGGTCAGCGCAGCCATGGTGAAGATCAGTTTCCAGCCCGCAGTGGTGGGCATCAAGGCCGATAAGGCCGAAAAGGCAGCAGCCTCTGGCCCGGCCTCGGCATCTGCCCCGGCCGCGGAGATCCTGCTGACGCCGGCGAGGGTGAGAGGCACCGGTTCTCGATGGGGGTGGTGGGGGTGTCGAGGGATCTAGGCACACCCCAGTGGCAGCGAGAACCAGTGGGACCCCGGAGCTACGAGCGGAGTCGGGGAGAGAGGTCTGAAAAGGCTGGTCCATCCCTAGCTAGAAAAGGGTCTTGGGTCCTACCCCAAAGCGGCATCGAAAGCAAAGCTGTCCTAAAGTGGGGACGCACACAGAGTCTCTTCCAAATGTGGAGACCCCTAGGTGCCCAGTTCCAAGATAAAGGGAGGTGGCAGGCCCATGAAAGTTTGGGGAATGTTGATGAGGGTTTGCGTCTGGTTCTAATCAAGGGGGAGGGGCCGGGAAGCCAGTCCCTGGGTGGGGGATGGGAGGAGGGTTGAACGTAGTTTCCCCATAGCAGGGTGATGGGGCCTGATTAGTTGGGGAATTAGATGGGAAACTCTGCTTAGTAACAAAAGGGGGGTGACATTGGTTTGGTCCCCAAATGGGGGGCTGTGGTGGGTGAAGGATGGCGTGGACGTGGCAGACCTTAAAGTGATGAACCTTCTCCGATTTCACAACTGCGGGTCCAGCTTCCTTATCCAGCCTCCAGCTGCAGTTACTTTCTGCTGCGTGGGATGCCCACTGCCCCGGTGCCCCTGGCATCCCTAGTCACTCAGCTGGCTTTGTGCGGGCGGAGTGGCCTCGGTGTACTCCGCCTTCCCCTGGCTGAGCGACCCAAGCAAGTCATTTCCGCCGTGGAAAACTGTGCTGTGTGGAGTGTTTTGTGGGGGAGGACTCGGGAGGCAATCACCGACCGGGAGTACAGGGAAAGAAAAAGCTGACCCAGCCGAGCTTCATTTTGCTTCAATAAGGGTGTTTTCTTGTCACACGCCCCCAAGCGGTCCTGGGCCACCCCAGGCAGAACTAAGAATGCCCCAGCACTTCCTCCTCCGCAAACCAAGTTTGGAAGCTCTGTTTCAGTCTTGCCCTAGCGAGCCAATACTAGAGAATGATCTAGAAGAGAGGGTCATGCAGAAGTGGGCCAGTCTAGCAGACTATGACTCCGAAGAATGCCAGGGACCTGGGCAGTACCGGAGCCCTTGTTTTAGTCACTGCAGCATCCCGCAGTTCATATACCAACAAGAATTCCGTGGCCACCCAGGCCGGGGTTGAAGGGTCCCTGGGCACCCCCACATGAGCAGCTCCTTCATCTGAAGACTGGATAGAGTCTTTAGATACTTGAACTGGTTTGCAATGCAAGGGTTGGCCCTGGGGCTCTTAAGCCTCTTTTATTACTTCAGGGAGGGGCCCTCCTCCTTTCCTGCCAGCCTTGGTAAGGGGCCCCAGGAACTGGTAAGTGGTAGATTGTCTGGTCTCAGGTACCCAGTTAAGACCTGGGACTGGAACCCAAGTACCTAAAAGCCACAGATCTAAGGAAGGAGGACTATGTTGAGCAACCAGAGAATGTCATTATCACCCCTTGAGAAGGAAGTCCCCGAGGATTCTACACAGGGCATGTACTAGGGCAGCCTGCTGATGGTGCTGGATAGGATGGCTGAGCCCAGTGTGAAGAAATTACAAGTTTTCTTATAAACCTCGGAAGAGTTAGTTATATAAGTCTGTGTAATAACATGGCAATATACTGATTAACACAAAAGACACCTTAATAATCAAGAAGCCGTACAGAAAATATGAGCCTCATTGTAGTTGGTTTTTACATAGTGTAAGTGATCAGAGGCTAAGTGAGGGGAAGTAAAGTGTCCCAGAAACAAAAGAGGCCTTATCCAAGCAAAACGTCCCTGGCAACAGCTGTCTAAAGACCACCAATGGTTGTCTCTGTGGGCCAAGTGCTCACCCTTTAATGCCTTCTTCCTATGAAATGATCTTTTCTTTATCATTGGGGGAGGGGGAGGCTTGCCTGTATCCCTGAAATTGCTCTTCATATCATTTTTTGGTGGATTCAAATCTCCCCCACGAAGACAAATTTTCAGTACTGTTTCAGCAGCCCCTCTTGGTAACCATTTCCAAATAGGCAGCACGTTTGTTGAGAGACAACCAGTGTCCAGCTTCCTGCTTTTATTAGACTCCCCAAGCTCAGCAGCCCACCTTGCCCTCAACCAGCGGGAAATGGAAATATCAACCTTGCCCTGCCCTGTGTGCTGTTAGTAATGGCCTAGAGCCTGCAGAGCAGCCTCCTCTATCACGATTGGCCTGGTGGGATCGTAGGGAAGCAGGCTGGACAGTCAGGAGGGAGGAGGGATTAAAATACCTACATTTTCAGACAGAACTGTTTATTGGTTAACTCGCTTATGGCTTGCCCAGTCTCTGAGCTGGTGTCATGGAGCCGTTGATGTTGAGTGTTGGCTTTGTCTGTCTCAGCTGCAGCTAGGACCTTGAAAGACAGCGCACTCCTGCAGGCTTCTTCTTGTTCTACAATGCCAGCAGGCATGTTTCCCCTTGCTCAGTTACTGGCTTGGCAGTTAAGAGCAGGCAGAGGCCCATGTGTAGTTTAAGACAGCGTGAGCCATTGGCAGGGCCCTGAGATGTGAGCCGTGGGTCTAGAGGGACTGGTTGGTGGATGTAGAGGCCTGAGTGCCCTTTATCAAGGCAAGGCTTTTAGATTTTGTTCCATACTGATGACGAGACATGAGACAGCTTAGAAGAAGGACTCTCTAATTGTCAGTGACCCTGGAGCCCCACCTTGGTGTTCTGGCTCAAAACCTGTGATCCCAAGAAAGACCACTGAAACAGATGGGAGAGCCAGGGCCTTTGGGCTGCTGTCAGCCTGTGTCCAGGCGTGGTGTGTGTGGAGGGAGGAGGGTGGTGAGGGAAGGCTGCAGCAGGGAGCCTCCCCACAGGGCCTGCCCCTCCTTGTGAGCAAATACTGGAGCAAGATTTGTCCCCAGACATGAGGCTACAAGGAAGGGCCTCGGCTGGCTGGAGAAGGGGTGGGGTTGGGGAGCCCGCCGGGCCTACAACTACCCAGCATCTCCCATGACAGTTAGACGTCAATAATGAGGAACCTACAGCTGTGGCATGGACCTGAGTGGGAAGCTGGTCATTGGAGCATGTGTTCGAGACCGCCTGCCCCAACTGCAGCATGGACCCAAGTGGCCACTCCCCCCCCTCCCCAGGTCCATTCTCATCCCTCTCCCACCGACTGACTGAGCACACATGTGTGCACATGGACAAGCCACAGGGCTGGGGGCTGCAAAGAAGAAAACACATTCAATTCAGCAATCTTCGCAGCCCTGTAATTTTCTCATTGGCATTTGTCTTTGATTAATGGCCCTTGAGTAACTCCCCCTCCCTCAGCCCACATACCTGTGGGTCAGATTTCACTGTGTGTGTGTGTGTGTCCGTGTGTCTGTCAGTGTCCCTGTGCCTCTGTCTTTAGGCTTTTGGCAGGAGGACCAGTAAGGAGAAGGTCTGTCTGTTCCTTGCCAGCTAGGAGACCTGGTCTTCCTGGCTGGGAGAGCTGGGCCGTAATGACCTTCAAAGAGGCAGCCCAGCCCGATGTCCTTCCCCATGTTAGTACAGTGGGAACTTCCAGGAGTTGCTCTGCCGGGTTTTTCTGCACCCCCCTCTCCCTCTGCTGGCTCCCTCTCCTTTCTGTTTTCCCCTGGCTCTACTGTTCAAGGCTGTCAGCAGACTGCTTGTGAGGGGGAGTTTCTGTTCCCAAGGGGGGGAAAAATGTTTATGATTAAAAGCTCAGTCACACAGCTGGGCTTTACCCTCTGTCCTGGGAGTCCCTGGTTCTTTCTTTTGTGAGTGAAGGCTTTTCCAGCCTTCAGCCTTGTGTCTTTCTGCTTCAGACCCTTTCTGGGCCTTTGTTTTCTGGAGAAGCCTGGCCTGTCAGGATGGAGGAGAAGAGAGAATTCTGGGTCCAGCCGAGCACAGTGATTCTCATAGCTGAAACCACCCCAGAAGCCTCAGGCTGGAGTGGGTAGGGGTAGGAGGTCACTAATAGAAAATCTCTGAGCCTTGGCAGATGCTCAGGTGATATCTATGCACTATTGCTCGGGGAGAATAGGCATTTGCCTCCCTCCCACCCCCCAGCAAGGCCTTGGTCTGTCTGTAGGTCTGTCTCACACACACCCTTTGGCATCCTCTGTGAACTGCAGCCTGCAGCCTAGGAAAGAAAAAAAAAAAAAAAAAATGCCAAGAACAGAATTGGGGTGGGGACCACTTCAAAGTTCTCAGACTTTCATTGGTGCTTGCAAAGTCTGTATCTGCTCTCCTCTGCCTCCCACCAAGTAGCCTGCAATTGTAACATAGTCCACTTAGATTTTGGCATTGTTACTGAGGGGCGGTAGAGTTCTTTGAACTGTGTCTCAGCCTACTTGTGTTTCAGTTGGTGGTTCCCTATCCATTTTGCCCCAGGCCTTGCTAATTATCTCACAAGCACTGTTGAAAGGACCAAGAAAGCCTGAAGGCTGAGGCCCAGGTCCCTCTCAGGTCACATCCCTAACTTGAGGGTGTATATTCGGGAGAGGCATTTTGCTCAGAGGGCTTGTTGCCTTGGAAACAGTATGCACCATCTTCCCACTTTCTAAAGGGAAGTCCCCCAATGCCTGGCTGTTGATAACTATTCTAGGGCAGGAGGGGGATCAGGACAAGAGGGGGAAGCAGCTAGAGTGGAAGTTATGCCCTCAGGAAGGCTGACTGGCCACTGCTCCCCCATGGTCCTCATACCCCAAAGGTCTCAGCTTGTGTGAGATCACAGACTGAGGTAACCTCAGCTTCCAGGGTTGGAATTTAATCCTTGGCGTTGATTGTGTCCAGCAGGCCAAAGCAGTGCTGGGGGTTTTTGTCTTCATTCATGGACGTCCTAGGTTTCCTTGTCAGCCCTCACTTCCAGCCATACTTCTCCGTCCTATGTCTCCGACGGTTCGGCTCAACAGGCCCAAGTGGTGGATGGGCAGCAAAGCTGGAGGCCCCAGCTTTGTGTCAGAAGAGGTGAACAAGGGCCATTGTTAGCATAGGAAAGATTTATGCTTTCCTTTTTCCCTCTGAAGGACTTGGTAATTTTAGATCATGAAACGAACTAAACAGACAGGAAACGGATTCACAGGAGAAACAAACTAAATTTCATATATGCATCAAAATAGGAGCCATAAACAAAACCGAAGGCTTAAAGAAAAGACCATAGCTGACCATAGCTGCTGAGGCAGCTGTCGGTGGCCATGCAAGTCATGGGGCAAGGTGAACATCTGCAGAGCATGTTTCCCAGGTAACGGTTACTTGTGGGAAGACCACGCAGGGCAAGCTGTGTGTCTGAGGTCAGTCCCTGCTGCTCTGTTGCCGGAAGATCTTCCCCAGACAGGCATGGGATCTGAGGGACAAGTACCTCTGGGTACTCCTCTGGTGCAGATGGATGACAATTCCTTTCATAAAAAGAGCAGCTTTCAGAGCCAGCCCACATCTGCAGAGGGCTGTACTTTGTCTAATAACCAACTGGGAATCCATCAAAGAAATATCTTTAGAGTGGAATGTTTTGATCTCCCTCCTTGTTCTGACTCCTGAATGTGTGGAGTTACCATCCCAGCTGGGAAAGGTGAGGGGGATTCCCAGTCTTTCCAGTCAAGGGTCCTGGCCAGAGCATGACCATTCTTCCTTCACCTGGGGCCATTGCAGCCTCAACTCCTGCCTGCTAGATCCTCACTGACCTTCCCTGCCTCCCTTCAGGAAGCCTCTGCGCCCATCCCCTCCCTCAGTCCATGCAGACCTGGACTGGCCCGAGCTTCCCAGGCTAGCAAGTTGGCCACAGATGTAAGACTGGACAGCCTCGGCTCATCTGTGATTTTTATGTGGGTAGCAGGCTCTCACTTGTAGTTCGCCTGTGCCCCTCCCCCAATCCTATTTTATTTCCCTTGCTAGCTTTCCCAAGCTAGCTTTTCCGATTTTCCAGAAACACAAGAGGAGAAAGATTAGCCACTGTGCAGCCTCAACAGCTGGCCACAGTGGCGGCCCTAAAAGGAAAGGCCCGGCCCATAGATCTACTATTTTTATCCCATACTGTATCCTCAACAAAGAGCTTTCAGGTTCACTGTCTCTCTTAATCCCTGAAGGCTGGTCACCTCAGATAACCCCAAGATGGATGTCCTATTGGCGATCCCTGGCCACCCCTGCTCTGGACCCTGTGTCCCTACCAACCCTCTAGATACAGTGTGGTCTTGGAATGTATTGTGCCAAAGGGCAATCCTTCCTGCCTCTAAGCTAGCCACCATTTTTGTTTGTTTTTCAAGACAGGGTTTGTCTGTGTAACAACTCTGGCTAGCCTGGAAATCATTTGTAAACCAGGCTGGCCTCAGATCACAGAGATCCACCTGCCTCTGCTTCTGCCTCCCAAATTCTTCGTGCCACCATGCCAGGCCACTAGACGCCTTATGATCACAGGAGCAGGCTAGTACAGCGCCTTTGGCTGTCTTGTTTATAAGAACCCCGGGTGGCTTGTTCATGGGAGATGCTGAGGGAGTGTAGATGTTGATGTCACCCCATAGGACCATTGCAAAGTGCAATTGCAAAGCCATTGCAGCCCCTTGCCCCTCTGGTCAGCAGCTGTCCTAAACCAGTTTCCTTAAGGGTGCAGGGTGGCCAAGGTTTGATCTTGTGGGAGGGTCCCCACTGTGAATGTGGGAACCCAAGACGTTTTCTGTCCTTTTCCTAGAGGTTGGGTTGGAGAGTACCAAACTGGGGAATCAGACCCTCTGGTGGACATCCCAGGACCCCTTTGCTGTGTTAAGATAAAGGCTTGTCCTAAGTAATTAGACAGAGCCATGTCTTCACCCACCCAACACCTCTAGAAAAAAAAAAGAGAAATAACATAATCCCACACTGTGTAGAGGGGGTCAGTGGAGGAGGGGCCAATCAAAACCTGTTTATTTAAGGCCAATGGAGAAACTCCATTCCCCAATCAGCTTCATCTTCCCAAGACTGGGAAGGGAGTTCTGTGGATACTGACCTTTGACCTCTCTTGGCCATGTCTGAGCAGTGTAAAAAAATGACAGGGTAAGTGGTAGAGGCAGAAACAAACCTGGTGATACCTGTAGCATCACCAAGAATAAATGAGGGCCAGCCTGGGCTGCTGTAGGGGGAGAAAGGTCATGCAAAGAGATAGTTAAGAGGTGGCCCACAAGTCCGTTCCAGGCCAAGTAGTCCTGTTGAGTTTATACTCATACACAGACCACCCACCAGCACAGACATGTGTGGTCTAGAGATGGGTCTGAGAGCCCTGCATGCCGAGCCCAAGTCTGGCTCCTGAAGGAGTTTCTTTCATGGGACTTGTGGCCTCCCAGACAGTCGTGTTTCTTTCCTAGTGAGACTTCCAGGAGCTTCAGGTTCCGTCTTGTAGACTCTGCTTATGACAGCCTGCCTGACACAACAGAGGGACAGTTTAGTACAGGGGACTGCAAGCCAAGGGCTACTTGGTTAGAGATAAGCACCTTTGCCCACATCCTCTAGGCCTCTCTCAGTCAGTGGCCACCTTGGTAGAGTTCAGAACCGTCTACACCCGCCTGTGATTGGCTAATTTCACTTGTCAGCCCAATTAGATTAAGACACACTTAGGGCATTAATATACATACCTTTGCATGTGTGTGTGTGGAGGCTCTCCCAGAGGCATTTAATGGAGCCGGGAAAGACCCAGCCACCCCGAATATGGGTAGCACTAACCTATGGGCTGAAGTCTCAGGCTGAATAAAAGGGAAAGTGGAGGAAGCTAGTTGAGTGCCAGCATTCATCTGTCTGCCACTTGATTTCCCAGATGCGAGCATATACTGTGCAAGTCCACACCGTGATGGACCGTGAACTTAGACAGACTCTCCTCTGGTGGTTTCTTATCAGGGTTCATAGCAATAAGAAAACTAGCTAATACATGCCCCCCATCACCCCCTGTCCTCATCCCAGTCCATCCTTTGCCTCCAGTTGGGTTGCATCTTGTCACTCTCTAGCTCTGCTTTCTTGGCTCCCTGTTACCTAGGACAGTGGCACCTAGCCTACCAGATTCATTCTCCTTCCCATGAACTCCTTGGACTAATCCAATCGCGCAGGCCGTCTGATGTGCCTTAGTTTATGTTTGAATAACTAACACAATGGTTGTCAACCTTCCAATAAACTACTAACTGTTCCTCATGTTGGGATGATCCCCCCAACCATAAAATTATTTTCATTGCTCCTTCATAACTGTAATTTTGCTGCTGTTATGAATTGTAATGCATATTTGGGGGGGGGGAAGAGACTTGCCAGAGGGGTGGAGAACCACAGGTTGAGAACCACTGGAGTGGTTAAGCTGGTCCAGTAACAGGATTGGCATTCAGGCAATTCAAAGTGTGTGTGTTTAGTCCAGGCTGATTGTCTTAGGCCTTTCAGGCAAGTCTCAATTTCTTTCTAGCTGGGAGGGGGTCCGGAGACTTTGTCAAGGCTCCTTGCCTTTCAGAAATCTGTGTTGCCCTTCTGCCCTCACCCCCACCCCAGCGCTCAGCCCAGACGGAGGGGTGATCCCACTTAGGAGATGAGGAATTCAGGAGAGTGGGGCCCTCTGGGCACCTCACTGACCACAGCACTTCTGTTCACAGGAGGAACGCCCCCCTCGCCACCGCTCCAGGAAAGGGGGCTCTGTGGGTGGTGTGTGCTACCTATCAATGGGCATGGTTGTGCTGCTTATGGGCCTTGTCTTTGCCTCCGTCTACATCTACAGATACTTCTTCCTTGCTCAGGTGAGGAGCCAGGCGGGTGGGTGGGGGAAGGGCAGCACCAAGACATGGGTAAAGGGAGTCTGCTGAGGGTGTGGGAACAGTGGAGAGCATGAGGAGAGACAGTAGAACCCCCCCCCCCAGGCATGCCTAGAGGACAGTCCTCATTCCTTCCCAGGGTCCCCTTGCCCGGGCTCACCTCTTATTCTGGAGAGTCAATCAAGGATCCCCCCATCCCCATCCCTACCCCTCACCAGTGACCAGTGGCACTCTGAAGTGTTGTCACTAAGAAAGAAGTCGGGAGCTTATGATTCTCTCTGGAACACAGACCCTGTATCTAGGGGTCATACATCATGGATGGCTGAATTGTTCCTTGCATTGGACATTTGGGTTTTGAGCCCCAGGCGGCTTATGCATGGTTGACCATGGCCTGCTTCCAAGCAATGGTAGGTCTACCGAGGAGCTTTCTTGTCTTAGTCCAGCACACACACACTGGAGAGCTAAGCCCAAAGCTGGATCACCCAGACTGGGGGGGGAAGGGAAGGATCACCATTCTTGAGTACTGAAATCAGTTACATTATAAGTAGCTTGAGAGATAAAGCATGGATATATCAACGGACACCCAGGGCGACTTACGGGCTAGGGTTTCTAGTCACTGGGGACCCAGCTGACCGCCCCCCATATCCCTTAAGTGTTTAAGGTTGTTGCCATCTAGCTTTTGCACACTAGACATTACCTGAGTGTTTGTGCTCTGTGGGACTGTCCCCTAGAGACCTCAACTCCTACATCTCTCCCCTTTGGAACTTGCCCTGAAAGCAGGCTAACTAACTAAATCTGCAAGGCTAGCCTTTGCCAGGTACCTCTTCCTTCTCTGGTACAGGACTCTCTCCTGGCCTTTTCCTCCGGTGTCCCTGCTCTGTCTCCTTTCTTCCCAGACCCCACTTGTACTTTTATAGGATTGGTCGCCCCGCTCTACTTCCCAGGTAGTGTGGATGCTCCAGACTGTCCCCAGGACAGCCTACAGTTGGCCTGAAGGCTATATCGTGTCTGCCCCAGCATCTGGTCTTCCTTGGGCTTCCTAAGCCCTCAGGGCTCCCACATGGTCAGGGTGTTTCATCCCGGCAGAGTTTCTCCTCAGACTCAGAAGTGGGAGGGAATTCTGCCCATCACGTACACATCATGGAGCTCTAGGAGCCTCTGAGTCCCTACAGGAGACAGCGCTGGTCCCATCACTCAGTTACTTCCCCTGGATGATGGGTGATGTAGCCATCTGCCTGATGGGGTAGGGCCTCAGGGCCAGGGGTGGGGTGGGATTTATCCACAGGAAGAGCATGGGGATGCTGTGGCATTGTCTTGGAGCTTGCCAGCTTCCCACCTTATCTTCTACCCAGGTGTCTGCAGGTGGGCAACCCTGGTGGTGCCCCACAGGCACAGCCTGTTCATCCCTTGGCTTGTCCCTCCTGCCTACTCAAGCTTTCTATGGGATTTACTGCTCTGTCCATCCACAGGGCTATTTGCAGACTCTAGGGCTTTGAAGCCTGGCAGACCTTTGAGATCATAAGCTTTACAGTTAGGGAAGCTGAGGCTCAGAGTGGTCTTCCACCTAGGAACCTGTTTATCCAGTCCTCCATTTGTGAGGCTGAAGGGACTTCCGCAAGACCCAGCTTATCTCCTCGCTAGCAGATGTGGGACCTACCTCCCCGTTCTGTTTCTCTGTCTCTGAGAAAGTCTTAGGGTCTTGCCCTTCCTGCTTCCAGGGTCTGAAGTAGGCAGATAGGCAGTGTGGCCATGTCACTACCCTGTGTGACCGTCTGTCTCTCCCCTCACCATGTGCAGCTGGCCCGAGACAACCTCTTTCACTGTGGCGTGCTCTACGAAGACTCCCTGTCCTCCCAGATCCGGACTCGCATGGAGCTGGAGGAAGATGTGAAAATCTACCTTGAGGAGAACTATGAACGCATCAATGTCCCCGTGCCCCAGTTTGGTGGCGGCGACCCTGCGGACATTATCCATGACTTCCAGCGGGTGAGGCTGATTTTGTGGGTGGCTAGTAGGTGGCTGGGATCTGGGTTAGGGCAGCGGAGAGTGTTCTGGGCACTCAGAGCAAGGAATAAGAGTACCAAAGAATCCTTGGCTTGTGTATCGACTGTACAGCAGATGTCTTTGGTCACCTTGACTGGCCTTTCAATACCGTGTTTACCATGAAGATAGTAGTCCTGTTGGTTATTGCCAGTGGTAGACTGGGGTGGGGGTAGACTGCTTTGTCCTGGGCTGTCTGATAGCTACAAGGCTTGGTTGTCCCTATGAGGCCAAGGACCCTGGGTCTGCTCGCATTTGTACATCCAGCATCAGAGTGAACAGCTGAGTGAACATCTGTGTAACGCCACCCAGATGAAAGTCTGGTTCGCTGCCAGCACTCTGGAAGCTTCCCTCTTAGTTTTTTTCCAGTCAGATCCTTCCTCCTTGAGGTTACCACTCTCGCCTCTGGCTGGTTTTGAGGTCAGCAAGACATAGGCCCGGCCTTCTTCCCTAGGTCTCCCAAGCATCTGTGTGTTCTGTAGCAGTAGTCTCTGGAGCCTGGTGGGGAGCTTTCCTCCCTGAGGCAAGGGACCTTGCTGGGGGAGTCGGAGGTGGTCGGACCCGTAAGGGTCCTTTCTTCCCCAGGACAACTATACCTCACTATTTCGATGAAATGCATAATGGGATATCAACATATGCCGTTCCCCCTCCCCTAGCTCTGAAAACCCCAGAAAGATCATCTGTAGCAATGGAGGCATTGAACAAACCAGTGTGCTCTCATCTGTTAATGGCAGATCCACCAGCCTAGAAAAGAGCAGGAGGGACGGGCTGCTCCTAGGTCAATGTCCAGGAACTGGGGGGTGGTGGGGGGCACAACTTCTGAGATCCTGGGCCCCATTGATGTCACAGGAGGAGTCAGGCCTCTGTCGAACAAAAACCTTCCGCGGGCTGGCCTGGTCCAGGCCTGTGCCTTACACAGAGACTGACAGACACCCCCTCCCTCTCAGGGTCTCACTGCCTACCACGACATCTCCCTGGACAAGTGCTACGTCATCGAACTCAACACCACCATTGTGCTACCCCCGGAACTTCTGGGAGCTCCTCATGAATGTGAAGGTCGGCAACACCTTGTTCATACCTGCCCCCTCCCTGAGGAGGCCAAGCCTAAAGGGGGAGTCCTGGACATTGTCCCTGTACCCCAAAGAATCGCTTCTCCACCGCTGTCTAGCCGCGCCCTCGGTGTTATCTCTCCTTTCCCCTCCCCAACTCACAGAATGTCAAGTGCAGCTCCCTCAGCATTCAGACTCATGCTTTGGGTCATTAGGGAGGGAAGTGGAAGCTCCCTATCTCCAGGAGCACACGTGCCCACATGCCACAGCTCACCGCAGTATGGGACAGGCTTCTGGGAGTAGAAAGTAGTGAGTTGGGACAGTAGTCATTTCAGATATAGAACGGGCGTGTGGGACCCCCAGGGAAAGGTGGACGGTGGGAGGGGCCTGGGTGCTGACCCTGCGCTTTGACACTACTCCCATCCCTTCTTTGCAGAGAGGGACCTACCTCCCACAGACATACATCATCCAGGAGGAGATGGTAGTGACAGAGCATGTCAGTGACAAGGAGGCTCTGGGTTCCTTCATCTACCACCTGTGTAACGGGAAGGACACCTACCGGCTGCGGCGCCGGGCTACCCGGAGGCGTGAGTGTCAGATGTGCCCCAGGCTCCAAATCCCAGCCAGCCTCTGACAGGATCTGGCCCAGCCATCCCAGCAGCAGCTGTGAGCTAACTGCTGCGGATGCCAGTCGAGCACTCAGGACATGCCAGCATTGCCTTTCTCCCCGCATCATTATCACATCGGCTCCGTTGAGTCTAACTGCATTTTAAAGGAAACCGAGGCACAGAGGCTAATGTAGCACCCAGAAGGTTTTACAGCAGAGCCTGACTTAGGAGCCCTCTCTCCTTCATGGTGATGATCGGGGTTGTCGCTTTCCGGGTTTCCCACTGCCTGCCTTGCTAGGTCCCAGGGTTCCTCTCTGGCTCAAAGGCTGGCCACCTTTCTGGGCCTGACACAGGCATAACTGGGACTTTTCTTTTTCTTCCCAGGGATCAACAAGCGTGGGGCCAAGAACTGCAATGCCATCCGCCACTTTGAGAACACATTCGTGGTGGAGACGCTCATCTGTGGGGTGGTGTGAGGCCTCCCCTCCAGGCCCACCCCTGCCCTCTTTCCTTCTGGCCACTCTCTGGCCCTCCTCCTCCCCTTTGCTTAGCTTGTACCTTGGGCACTTTTCCATAGATGTGACATGTCTCACCGTCCTTTCCAGCCCCCACCCCTCCTCCCTGTACCAGGGCTGTGATCTCTCAAGGGGACCTCTGAGTCTGCTGGTCTTTCAAGTGTGCAGCGGGCGAGATGGGACAGTCGCCCGAGCTGGTTTCTGTAACCCATTGTTTTAAGTCGGCTCCCCAGTGGCTGGGCCAAGGGGAAGGACTAAAGGGAGGAGCTGGGCACGTGAAAGCCTGGGTAGGGGCAAGCGCATGGATGTAAGGCTTGGCATGGGGTTCAGACATAGCCCCCCCACTTTGGGGGAAGTCCTGAAAGACTTCTTTTTTCTTGCACAGCACACTTCTTCCCTCCTCCTGGTCCTTGGGCCTAAGTGTGGACTAAGGATGGGGAAATGTGTCCTGGGTTGAACCCGTCAGAGCACAAGAGGTGGCGGCCATCATGGGGTCTCCCGGGATCCCTGTCAGTGCCTTCATCCCACCAGCGGGAGCCTGGTGTTTGACGGTGGGATGAGTCTGCCAAGCACAGTTCTCTGAGTGGAACCAAAGAGATGAGGAGTTGGGCCACCCTGGCCTGGCGCCTGGGAACACGGGAGCAAGTGGGCACAGAAGTCATCGGCCACAGAGCCCCCGCCCTGGGCAGTGGGTGGAGCCCATGCCTTCCTCCATGCCAGGAAGCTGGAGGGAGAGCCACCTGGTACTTTGGTCCCCGCTGCCTCTTCCGTTCTGGATCTATCCCCACCGTCCAGGGGTGTGTGATGTTTCTCCTCCTCCTTTTGCATGTTTTTAACTGATGTTCGTGCTGGCCGTCCTCAGCCCTGAGCCTGGGAGAGGCTTTAGTGCCTCAGGTCAGACTTGGGTTGTCCATGGCGGTGAAGCTCTCAAATGCTTTGTATATTTTCTCTATTAGATCTCTTTTCAGAAGTGTCTGTAGAAAATTAAAAGAAAAACAATCTTATACTTGTGACTTTGGCCCTGGTGTCGTGGCTAACTAGGGGTATCTTATGGGTTGGGGATGCTCTGAGGACAAAGTGGTAAGGGTGGTGGACAGGAAGAAGCCAGCAGACCTTGGCATTTCTGGGCCAGCAAGGGAGTGTGAGGTGTCCCTTCCATGGTCTTCTTAGATCCCTTGGTCTGTGGCCTGAGTCAAGTAGTGCTGACATTTCCCAGAGAGCTTCAGGAAACTGTTCAAGGTCAAGCTGCTTTTAAGTGCACCTTGCTGCATGGTTTGTGACAGATGACATCATTATTTCATGTCCTTAGGCTCAAGGACAGTGTCGTATTTGCCACAATGTCTAGGAAATTAGTAATTGTTCCTGGTGGATCAGAAATAGTCACAGGGTCATGTTCTCCAGGGAAGGAGGCGGAGCGAGCTGGCTGGGGCCTTAGTTAAATGGACACAGACAGTAGAATTGAACGGTGCCCTGGGATTGAGGGTGGGCAGGATCCATACCCCTGGTGCTGTTCACAGTGTCAGCACCCTTCAAGAGGACACAAGAGACTCCAATTCATGCAGACACACCTTATCTGGACACAGGACCTCTTGCATGATTCCTTCTGCTTACATTCTAAATATAATGCAATCTACCAGAGTGCCTGCTAGATTTGTTTCTGGACTTGACCCATTCCACTCTTGGGAAAGAGTAAACATAGGATAAGCCAGATAAATCCTGCAAAGGTCAAAAATCTGCCCTTCAAATCCATAGCAGGACAAATAACAATAATTATGGAGTTTGGAGTGGCAAAGAAGAGGTCAGTGGGACACAGTGGGGGACCTAGAATTGGCTTAAATTACACGGAAATTTAATACACAGTTTCCCATGGCATGTTAAGTTAGTGGGGGCATGTGGGTTATTTTTAATGAAACAATTGATTAGACATTTTGACCAAATAAACCTGGATCCTGCCTCCCTGAACAAAATTGATTCTGAATACATAAAATAAAGCCAGTGTTTGAAAGAAAACAATGAAAAGTAATATGAGCATCATTCCCACTAAGTAAGAATTAATAAAGAGTTTAAATTTATATATGGCAAAGTCTTACCACAGCTTATAAACAACATCGGGGAGGTAATTATCAAATGGAATGTAAAAGGGCTAATTTCCTAAATATTCAGAGCTTTTGTGTTTATTTTTAGTTTGGTTTTTTGTTTTTGTTTTTTTTTCAAGACAGGGTTTCTGTTTGTCCTGGCTGTCTGGAACTCACTCTGGAGAGCAGGCTGGCCTCGAACTCACAGGGATCCTCCTACCTCTGCCTCCTGAGCACTGGGACTAACGGTGTGTGCCGCCACCGACACCATTACCACCCCACTTCAAAGCTTTTATTTATCTATTTATTTTTAAATTAGGCTGAGATGTTTAATTGCAGCTGTGAAGAACACCGATCAAAACTATCGAGAACATTTTTACTCATCAAGTCAGGGTTAGAGTTTCCATTTGGGGTTGTAGTTTGTGTTGTGAAGCACTTGTTACATACGAAATACTTGACATCATTGTGTGGCATTATCAATAAGATATGAAACTTTCTAAGTGATGCGTAGTTAGAAACCCACCAGACTTAAGACTGCCACATGACCACGCTGCAAGTTGTCCTTTGAAAAGCCATGTCCCTCTCCCTTTCTCATTCTAAATGTTAAAGACAAACCCATCTCCGTATGATTAACATGCTTATAGTTGAGCAGGATATGGTGGCTCAGGCCTTTAATCTCAGCTCTTGGGAGGTGGAGGCGGGTGGATCTCTGTGAGTTCAAGACCAGCCTAATGTATGCAGTGACTTACAGGACAGTGAGGGCTGTGTCTATAGATAAGTAATGATACTAATTGTTGATTTTTTTTTTCTACAGCTGTCCAGAACTCAGAGTGTTTAGTTACCACATGATATCAGAATGTCTAAGGCTCCTTTGTTTTTTAAAGAGAGAGTGTGTTTGTGTATGTGTTTGTGTATGTGTATGAGTGGCAGTGCCTGCAGAGGCCAGAAGACGGCATCAGATCCCCTAGAGCTGGAGATTCAGATGACTGTGACCTGTCTAACATGAGTGCTCAGAATTGAAGTCATGTCTTCTGCAAGAGCAATACACACTCTTCTATTGAGCCATCTCCCTGACTCCCTTTATGTGCAAACAAATAAAGCATATAAAATGCTTTGAGGCAATTAACTTGCAGAAAATAAACCATGTTTGTATAAATGAAATGCAGACCTAGCCTCTAGGAGTCAATGTTAATAGCCATGTTCTTACCAAAGAGAAGAAAGAGGAAATACACACCATAAAGGAGGAAGACGGTTACAGACTCTGCTAAACCTTAGCTGGCACTCACTGATTGCAGTCAGCACACTGCACCTGCTTTTCCTCTCTCTGGAAATCCCTGTGCCCCAGCTCTCCAGGACAATGCTCTGAGGACCACACTTCTTTCTGTCTTCTTGGGACCAGTTTTGGGATATGTTTACTTTTCTTCCTGTTGGAGTTTGGCTTTTGAGGACACGTTGACAGAGCTGAGTCTGGCTTGACTGGTCAACTGGTTGACTCAAGAACCAAGCCCGTACTAAAAACAAGTTTGGCTGTCTGCTGGGTGAGCGTGCATTGGTTTCTCTAGCACCACAGTGGCTTTTTGTGGCCCTTTGTTCCTCGTATACATTTAAAATAAAAAATCCAATTTCACGAAATTTCCCTAATGAGGGAGAGTTGGAATTATAATTTCATTATCAACAGGATATTTACATTTTTTTAAATTTTGGCTTTTTATATCTTCCAAAACAGTTTTCCATTTCCCTGAGTGAAATTCTGGCAAAGCTTTCATGAATTAGCTTGATTTACAAGTTCCTTATATGTATTAATATATGTAGATTATTGTTACAGTTTATAAAAACACAATCTGAGTTGTAGTAATGATCCAGCAAACTTATGTGTGGTTTTTTTTTTTTTTTTTTTTTTGCTGTTTTTGGTCTTTTGAGACAAGATTTCTCTATGTATTCCTGGCTGTCCTGAAACTCACTCTGTAGACCATGCTGGCCTCAAAGGCAGAGATCCACCTGCCTCTGCTTTGCCTCCCCAGTGCTGGGGTTACAGGCCACCATCTCCCAGCTGTGCTTCTTATTCTAACAAATAGATGTTGTGCTCTTGATTATGAATAAATTTTATTTCTTTCAAATAATTCAACTTTTAATTTTCCTTTTGCCTGATCTATTTTATTTTACTGTGGAGTTGGAGATCACACTCTTGAGCTCTATCAGCAAGCACTCTCGTGCTAAGCCACACCCTCTGCCCCAAGATTTACTCCTTCTAGGCTTACCACACAGACAAGAAGTTCAGGTACCATGGTAATAGCTACCAGAGTATTGCTTTTGACTTTAAAAGGAATTCATCTTGAATGTAGTTTTCAGATGTTAGGAAAGCATTCTGTTTTTCAAAGTGTTGTTTTTGAAATCAGAGATTAGCAGTGAGCTATTTTATTAAGTGTTTTTTGTTTGTTTTCTGTATCAATCCATTGACTTTGTTGACTGATTTGTCCATTGTGCATTTTGGATGCTTCTGTGCTATGCATTTCACTTCCCATGCTTTTTTTCAGGAGTTACAGATATGCACTGATCAGCACCGCTGCATATGCCTTTTTCTCTTCTTATAGAGTCTTTGATGGGGCTTTTGTGTCAAAGTTTGGCCGGCTTGAGTTGGGGGGATTGCTCTTGTGACTTATTTATTTTTGCCAAACAAACAAGCCCCGATAACAAGCTCTCTTCTCACATTCATACAAACCCTTCCTGACCAGCGCTAGCGCTGAAGCGGTCTGACAGTGGAAATTCTACGATGTGATGCATTTGTCTGACCCAGAAATTTTGCAGCTGTGCAACTTCTTTGTATCACATAGATGTAACCAACAAGCATATGGAAATATACATACAAAGAGGAACTGTTATGGTTGTAATGGCAAGAGATTGAAAGCAGCCCCTCTATTAGGGATGGGGTTTCACAAAGGGTATACAGTATTTTGTTCCTGT